GTTTTGCTTCACAGTCTCAATTCAGATATGCAGACTCTAGGAGGTCACTTATAAACCTTATTCTTCTTGTTTATATTTTATTCTTGTCATACTCTGAAAATTTTTTGTGCCTTGTATTACTAACACTTTATTCTAGTTGAAGTAAAACCAGTTGTTGCCAGTGAGCAGCTGGACCAAAAAAAGATTTTTTTTTTTTTTCATAAAGCAAAATTGCCATTTAACTGAAATCTGTCTCCTCCTTATAAGAAGCTCAAGAGCGATTTCATGATTACTGCATCTGAATTAACTGAGTTTTAAAGTGAATGCAATAAAACACCATCACTAGACAGCCTTTATTGTAAAATATGCCTAGTTTAACTCTTTGTGGGTCTGAGCAGTCTTAGCAGTGATTTATTTTGAGTACTATCAGAGGAACAGAATTGAACTATGATTTTCATGCAGAATAACAAAAAGAAATGGATCTGAAAAGAAGTATTGCAGAAAATAGTGTTGGATAGAAGATACTAATGAACAAGGTTCAAATAAATCCTTTCAGAGCTTAGAGTGAATAATATTCTCCACTCTTTCCACAAGGTAACAAGAAAAAGGGCTGGGCTATTTTCAAACCTCAGCTCTCCAGTAAATTTGTAGAAGTAGACACAAAAACACAGGTTCATCATTATGAATTATTTGAGTACAGTTTCTTTTTAAAAGAAAACATCAGCATACAAAGAAAAGTGTTTTGAGACATTTCAAGGTCTCAGCAAGGCAGTTGCTAAGTTTTCACTGATAAGGCTTTGATAGACGGGAAAGAGTCTGTGCGAAAGAAAGAATTGACTTGGAGAGAAAAATTAGTAACCATCTTGTATTGAAAAAAAAAAGCGTTGGACAAAAGAAAACATTCGTAGCACAAAACCTAATGTGCTAAAAGAGTTACAACAGGGAGAAGACGTGTGTAACAGAGATAAAGGTGCGATGGATTTGGCATCACCCACATACAGAGTGATAAAAAAGGTATGTGGGAGGACCAGATGCATCAAGGTTTGCAGCACACGTCGACTGTCTTGCTCCARAGAAGACAGTCGCCAAGTGTGCAAAGCAAACCATTTTATAAGCAATCTACACAACAGAATAGAAAAGGTAAGTGCATACAATTTGGCATAAGCTCCTAACAGAGAAATTTAGCAGTAATATAGTATTCTTTTATAACCACAGTGCAGGCTCAAGAAATGAGTAGCATGAAAGAAGAAATGAGGAAGTATTTGTATMGATTTTAGTACATACAGAATAAATGCAAATATGACAAAAGAAAATTAATACACACAAAAAAACTTCACCATGATATTACAGGTATCTTTTACATTAATAGACCTAAAGACCACTCTTCAGCTCTATGGAAGATGTCAGTTTAAGGAAATGTTTCTTGGGTTGGCTGTTGAACAAGAGATTTTTAAGGAAAGCTAAAGCAGAACTCCTAGGAGTTCCAGTTATTCTAGTACCCTGAAACAAGAAAAAGACTGGCAAAATCCCAATGAGTATAGAAGAAAGATACAAGATATGCCACCTAAACCTCTGTTGCAGTGAATGGAAAACTGGTGTGATCTAGTGAATTACATTGGTTGTAGCTAAGAAGAGAAAGGCAGCAAACTCTCTCCAGAGTGAGTGGTTGAGGTAGTTAAATATTTTCTTGTTTTAAGATCTGAAAATCATAATAAGGATGATGACTAAGACTGGCAGAAATCTAGAGCATTTGTGAAGGGAAGGAAGAACATGATATTGGGATCACAGTCTGGATGATATCACAGATGATCACAACATGAAAGACTGTCATTTACTTACTCTAATATAGTAGTTTAGGTCATTCACCAAAACACACTGTAGGCTGCTATCTAATAAGCAGAAGTAAAATGTGTCTCTTGAATAATGTAAAATTATGCTTATTAGAAAAGGAACTGTGGATACTATACATCAATTCTTTTTTTTTCTTTTATTTTTATTTTTTCATTACAAATAGGGCTGCCCAGGAACCCTTAAAACTCATGAGAAAATCTCATGGAACAACCTTGATAAATGTTTGGTTTATTCAGCACTTACTCTTTAATGTGGTATGCAAAATTACAGCTTAACAGAAGCATATGTTCCTCAAAAAAAGCCAACCAAATAAATAAATAAGAGAGCTTGATTGGCTTATTTTCTGTGCAATATCATGAAATAAGGTACAAAAGAAATGGAAGACCTGGATGGAGAGGTGCATGTGACACTATGCATGATACAGTGATCATGATAATAATGTAGCAATGAGCTTAGGTGTCTGAAAAAAATGTTTCTTTTTATCTTATCTAGCTGCATTACCCCAATTCATCGTATTTGCTCTTTCAAACCTTATTTCTCTTGGAAGCAAATATATAGAAAGAATGAATGAAATACAAAAACAATGTCACAAATCGTTTAAAAGCAATAACATTAGCATGGCTGCTACTGGAACAATATTCATTTGGSATGAAAACACCCCTAACTTTGAACTGTGGGGCAAACTCTGGTAAAACAAAGCCATGATTTTTAGACAAAAGCATCRAGAGATGCTAAAAAAAGAATGTCTTGATATGATAAAACATTCTTGTCTGTTTTTTTCATATTTCCACACATATGCAAATAAAAAAGGAAAGAAAAAGGTCATAGAAATATTGGAGAAAGAAGTGCAATGATAATTTCAATGTGCCTAATAGGAATTGGCAAGTGATATATTGGAATACTAAGGGAGCCAGCACCTACTTAGCAACATGCTAATCAGAAGTATGGTGAGTCACATCAAGGACATATTCACTAGATGTGGTATTTGTGACAAACTCTTTCCCAAAATAGACTCTGCTTCTATAGGTCTTGGGCTGTATGCATTTTAATGAGCTTAAGTCTCAAATAAATAATAGTTCCATAAGAGTCTCTGAGTTTTAAATGGGGACCAAGAGGTAGAAAAATAAAYGAAAAAACAACAACAAAAAAAACCCACATTAAACCCGTGCAAAATCTGAATGGTCATTGGCAACTTGAGATGATCAAGGAATAAAGGTCATGTGTAATAAGCGTGGGCTGACAGTGCATTAGGAAAAATAGTATTTAGGTGTAGTTACAGTCCCCCAGCCATAAGGGAACCATCACGAGTCACAAGTTGTAGACCAGTAACACTGCTTTTACTGGGCATTTCCTCAATTAAGCAACTTTTTCAAGCTTTGTATAGATTTCAGTAACCAGAAAGTAATCAGTCCTTAGTTATTCGGGCGTTCTTGCTTTTCCAAAGGAAAAAGGTGATGTTCAGCAGTCTTTTTCTGTATCATTACATCCTAGGAAGATTTCTATGGCATTAGGTCATAACTTTGTATCTTTTCTGTTCATCTCTATGCTTTATTATATCCCAGTGAATTTTGCTGGAAAAAGCAATGTACTCTGCGAGTTACGTGCAGACATGGGTTTGAATAACAGGACATAATATGGTTAATTCGCAAATTGCTGCATTGTTGTATATCTGGTTGGAAGCAAGCCTTCAGATATTCAATAAACCTTTCTATTTTGTAACCCAAAGAAAACTGGTTTGCTTTGGAAAGAAATACTGTGATTTCTTGAAACAAGTATTTATTCAATCTGTTATCAGAGAGAATAAACCTATTTTTTTTTCCCAGAAAGATCCATTATGTTTTATACCATTTATGTAATAAAAATATCTTTCTGGCTGAGGTTCTGCATAGTATAGAGGTGCTTTTACTACCTCTTTAGCTTTACTAGCAAAGGAAGGGATTATTTTCCCCGAGGTAAGTAAGGATTAGCCTCCTGCACGTTGTTCTGGGGTTAATTTACATGTGTCTCACTTTTTCACAACAGATGGCTGCACTTCAGTAGCTTTGGGTAACATGTACATGAAATTAAATCTTCATTGTAAGCCAGTTTTTCTTCCAGTCACTTAAGTCATATCCTCAATGTAATGTCACATGGGCGAAATTAAAAAATTAAAAAAAAAAAAAAGGAAACTTGTGATTATTAGTGCAGTGTCAGTTATACTTGAAGGGATTGTAGATTGCATATGGAATACAAATCAATTATTTTAACAGATTTAACAGATTTTATCCTTCTGCTTTAAGGGTGAAAAAGTGCAAGCAGTTCTGGGGAGAGAGCCTTATTTTTGTTAAGTTTTGAGCAAGCAGTTTCTTACATTCGTCTGTAAGCGATAATTATCTTACGGATAAAGCGGATAATTATCTTACTATATTGTGTATATTTATTATAGGCATGTATAAGAGGGCGGTGAGACCCCTGGCCACGGCTGCCACCTTGTCCCCTCCGCCTCGGTTCAGTCCCGCACCTCGAGGGTGGTGGGCGCCCGCATACCCCGAAACGCGTTTTATTACTATTTAAACGTTATTTTAACCGCTGGCGGCGAACGGCAGAAACGCCCCTGACCGTCAGGGCTCCGCCGCGACACCCCCCACACGATGGGAAGCGGGGAGGGGGCGGGGCGCCACGCTATCCACCAATCCCAGCCCGCTAGGGCACTCTGACTGACATTCTAAATCACCCTATAGGAAGAGCCTTCTGAGCAGGCGGGGCCGCGTGGAGCAGGCGGTGCTAGCACCGCCCAATGGGAGGAGCCGTCGGCAGGCAGCGGGGCGTGGGGTGTGGGCGTGGCTCGCCCGAGGGTATTTAAGCGCGGCGCCGAGGGGTTCGCCCGAGCAGTCGGCGCAGCGCCGCGGCGGCAAGGTAGCCCAGCCCTCATCTGCTCGGGTTTTTCCCTCGTTGTCTTTATTCCGCGCGCGCGCCCGTGTGAGGCGGGCGCGGGGCGGCCGGCCCGGCCGAGCGGCAGTCGCGGCGCGGCCTCCGCGCGGGGAGCCAGCGGCGGGAGCGCGGCAGCGAGGGCAGGCGGCCTGCGCCCCGCTCCGCGCTGCCCGGCGCCGCCCGCTCTGGGCCGGGAGCTCGCGGCGCTTCCCTCTGGCTGCGTCCCCGCCGCCGCGGGCGGGAGGCGGCCGGGGGGGAGCGCCGCCTCGCAGGATTTACCGCCGCCCGGCGCCATGGACGAGAAGTACCTGCCCGAGCTCATGGCGGAGAAGGACTCGCTCGACCCGTCCTTCACACACGCGCTGCGCCTCGTCAGCCAAGGTGAGCGCGGCGGGGCAGCGAGCGCGGCGGGGCAGCGACCCCGGCCCGCGGCGACCCCCGGCGCGGAGCCTCGGCGCGCGCGGGGCCGCGCGGTTTCGTCGCGTTTTGCTCCCTCGGCCCCTTTTATTTATTTTCCACTCCCTTTCCCCCTCCCCCCGTTTTTTTGGGTTGTTGTTGTTGTGCTTTTATTTATTTATTTYTGCTTCCTCACCTCATAAAAATAAAACACSGTCGGAGCACCCGGGTCTCCAGCCCCTCCGACCGTCCGCGTCCCCTCCCCGAGCAGCGCCGCTGTGTTCGGAGCGGCTCCCTCCGCTCCCGGGCGCTTCTGCACCGGCTGCTCAGGAACAGCAGCCGAGGGATGCTCTGTGCCTCCTTTTCTCATTTGTTTATTCCTTTTTTTTTGTCGAAGGAGTTTGCAAACTAAGCCTTTTCCTAGAACCTTGCAACTCCGGAGGCTTCAGAGCTGCATTGCTGCATCTTTGTGACGGCTAAAGCTTTATTTTTCCAGTTATGTAACTCGAAATTGTCAGATTTTATTCCCATATCTCCCCCCGTAACGCATAGGTCCTTTAAAACATCTAATGTTTCGCTTTAAGTGATTGCTCTTTGTTTAAATGAGACCATGCGGAGTCCGATGGTAATTCCATGGCTTAGTGTAGGCTGGGAGCGTTGTGTAACGGGAAGGTGACTTCGAACGGTGCTTGGCATGGTCAAATACTGCAAGTTATAACTTAAAATGACAAACGACTCCAGAATCAGCTCCTGGAAGTGATTATGGAGCTGTGCTGGTGTGTTCCACAGTAATGCAGAGCTGCTTCACTTCAGTGATTTCTTTCAGTGGTTTGGCATAATCTTTGKTGTAATCCACTACAAAACGCACATCTCTGAATCCAAAGGAGTCAGCTTTTCTCATAAATACTTAGTTTTTAGTTCGCTGCTGGCTGGACAGCGTGTGTGCCCTGTGCTCTGTGGCTGCACGTCCTTGGACTGGGTGTCTTGCATGTTATGCTGCCAACTTTCTAGCTCTAAGCAATGAATTGATAAAAATACTATTGTTTGCACTAGTGTTTTTGACTGAGCRGCACTGTTGATGGTGTTGAAGGAGAAATAGTCCTGAATACGTGCTGTAAATAAACTCATTTTTAGCTTGATGGCTGAGATTTTTATGGTTCTAAATTAGAGATACTCCACTGAAAATATTGAGGGAAGAATAATTTCTCAGTGCCTTTTGTCTTCATGTAACTTTAAGGAAGTTGCATATAACCACTCTTTCACTAAAGCAAAAATTCACATGCATTTGTATTTGTCATGTTTCTTGGAACTTTGATAGTGTTTTGGGTGTCATCCCTGAAATAAGTAGAAACAGCAGAAATATGAAACTTTTGCCAATTTCTTTAATCAGGCAGTACTTGACACAGAGGTCCATGTATGCTTAGAAGCACCAAAAATAGTGATACATTCATGCATGTAAATACATGGATATGACCTAATTCTTCTCTGAGTATTTTTATTACTGGAAAGTACAATCTTGTACTTAAAAATTCCCATTTGGGTATTCCACCTATTACAGACTAGTATTTAAAAGTGTAATAGTGATCTGTGAATCTGTGGATTTGTCCTTTCCGTGTAAAACAATGTTTTTGTGGTTATGTTACCAAGGAGCCAAATGAGGTGAAACATCTGTGTAATAAAGTAGGAAATTTACTACTTTAACAAAAGACACTTTACAAACCTATCCCATGCTGTCATGACACTAAGTTTAGATTTGACTGGTTCATTATTGTTCTAAAATTTAACAATTATTTGTGGTTATGTGATAATTATTGGGAAGGCATCTGCACATACTCTAGCTAATACTTTTTAAGTCGGATCCCCAAGTTCTTTCCTCTCTGTAGTAGGTCATATAAAATGGCTGGTGTAATTTCTTTAGCTTATTTATGTTTTAGTTTTGTTACGTTGGGCGCTTCTCTCAGTTTGAGCTCRTCCAGATATTTGCATTTTTTCATGACAACTTTTAATTGCTTAAAACAATCAGATTCACCAGTGGTGTTCTGAGGTCTGTCTGTCCTATTAGATCTACCACTTACCTGCAATGTTTCAGCTCAAGTAAAGGTAAGCTGGCTCTCTTCAGAAACTTGGTATTGATTTGTAAGGAATACAGTTGAGTTAAGAAATTGCCTGGAAGGAATGAAGTGCCTGCACTGCTTAGACCAAAGAGCAAAATCGCTAATAAATCTCTGCTCGTATTGAAATTTGGTTTCTTGGCAGGAGTGGTTCTGTATCTAGACTTTCAAAATCTGCTAATTATAGTTCTCAAATGGAAGTGGACACATTTGCATATTTTATGCTTATAATTGCAAATTATAAATTGGACACACAAATTATATAATTGCAAAAGATGTTAGGGAAAGGGCTCAGTGTGTTTTCTTTAGAGTTCCAGCATAGCCTTTTAGAAAAACAATCTTAGAGATGCCTCAGATGCTGGGATAACACTGTATTGCTTATACTTTTCCAGAATCGGAGGGCAGCACCTCCCCTCACCCTTTAAAACCTTGTTTTCAGTCTTTTGATACCATTTCAGTCCATATCAGTGACTGTTCTTGCTGTATAGCACATGGAAGTACTGATGTTCRTGTCAAATTTTGTTGAAGTCAGTGGGGACTTTATTGGAAACCAAATCAGAAAGGCATTTTTATAATCGTGCTTTAAACAGGCATTGGAATATTCAATGACTGCTTAAATTTTAAAATATGAGAAATCTTTTGCAGGAGACTGGAATATGTTAGACTTAAAGTGGATTTTTTTTTCCTCATACACTTGAGGACAAATAAGCCCTAAAGTTTACAGATAAAACTTCTTAAAATACATCTGCAAGGCGAACTGGCTCCTAATGTGTATGAGGAGGGCCGTGCTATAGGATTAATGTAYAGCTGGTTGCACAGAGGGAGCGCTATGTCCCGTTAGTGTCCTAAGCTTCTGTGGGTGAAAAACCTTGAAAAATAAGGTTCTGTGATTACCCTCTATGAAGCAGCGGCAGATCAGTATTATTGCATTATTCCTATTTCAAATGTTGTCAAGTGTTGCATCTTTACATGCAAAAATTAACTTTTGTGTATGAAAGTGGTGCTTTTTCTGAAATTGTACTAGTTCTGTGCTTCTTGGGAGGTTATATGGCTAGTTTTACTTTTCAGTCACCTTTGAGATAGCTTGCTGCTATGTCACAAGAAACCTTTAAAAATATATACTAACAAAATGTSAACTCTCTTTTTGGACTTGAGAAATAACTTAATAAACTGTATATGTTATAAATAGAACTGTTCATATATATCTGACATGTGCAACTACAGTGTAGTCCTGGCTGAAAGTAATTTTTAATATGGGAGAAGAGCAGTACGTATTTCCTTTGAAGTAAGGAACATCGTAACTCTTTATCTGACAAGAAAACTAACTTTTAAAATCTGGAGAATTTCAATAAAGTGCCCAAGTACTAGAGAAACTAAGCTAACCTTTAGGTATTTTGAACCTGTATGTGTATAGTGAACATGGTTCATTATGAACTTTCCTGATCTGTTTTCATGTCTCCCCCTTCCAAACAAGGCTTTGTTTGTGAGGCTGTTTGCCTTGTGCATTAGACATAAGATGTTTGTAAATATGTAAGTGTGCTACTATCTATAGCACCAATCATAAACTAAACTATACTAAACAATGTAGTAAAACATCAGTAAGAAGAGCTAGCTACCTTAATTCCATTATCGTTTCAGATTTGTGTATTATAATAACTTTTATGCCAAGTATTTTGTGAATGTTGGGAAAAGTATATGAAGCTGCAGATTGAAGAAGCTATCTGTAAATAAAACATGCTGGTGGTAGACATGTTTTGCAACAAAGGGAGAAATTAAACCAGTGCCTGGCACTTGTTTGTTTTGTATAATGTTAAGTGTGTAGGTGTAGAGAACTCTGTAATCAAAGTTTGGGCAGCTAAAATCTTCGTTCCAAAAGCTAATGAATCTCAATGCTATTGCTGGAAGACTTTTTTCCTTGTGCGTATTATGCTTGGGGAACTCATCCTTCCAAACTTGTTTTGGTTACTAGAATTTGCAGTGATATTTTATATTTGAGAGTCTACACTTTCTTGTGACAAGAAGATATATGGGAATAACGAGTTCTCACAACAGTGGATGGATGTGCATGCTAGCTGTATCATCAAATCACTTACTGTTTCATGCAGCTTATAATGATCATTAAAGACTTGCTGGTTCTTATGCTTACCTCCAGGACTAGTAGAAAAAGGTAGAAATCYCCTCAGCATAGTGTTTTCCATCCTTGGATTCCTCTGATATTGAGGAGGAACAAGAGTAAATGGATACTAGTTTCCTGCACTGTGCAGGTTATGAGGTGTCTGATATTTCGTCTGTTTAATGAATAGGGGATAGCATTGTAAAAGCAGGAACTTAATTTAAGGTTTCACAGTCAATATTGACTCAGAATAAATTTCCCTTGAAATGCAGTGGCTGCTGTGCACATAGCGAGTATTTTCTTTTTATAATTCTAACTTGCACAATTCTGTTAGTATATCCTTGATTCCTTCTTTTCCTGAGGATGTTGTGCAACATGGAGTAGACCGGCATGTCATTGTCTGTTCTTGGATGTAATGGTCTTGCATGTACCCAGCTCCTGTATAACCTTGCTGTCTTTTACCTGTTATTGCAGCTGCTCTTATGGGTGAGGAAGGAGAAACACTAATTTTAAGTATCCTGCTTTCTGAGRCTGTCACAACATTTATGCAGGTCACAAGCATTTTGCAATAGAAATGTAGATAAAGAAAACCAGGGTGCTAAATTAATAGGATGCTCCAGATAATCTTAAGGGTAATACTCAAGTATGAGGAGTGAGATGTGTGTGTTCCTCAGCAAGTCACTTTGAGTTGCYTTRGAGGCTAACCAGAAGGTAATAACACTTCTATTACCTTCTAGTAATGAGATTTTATAGAAATAAAG